TTCCTGCTGGGACTGGAACTTCACCAGTACGAAGTATTTCCCCCTGCACTTTCATAATCCGTATATTTCCTCACCTACACACAACTTGCCTTCAGACATCATTCTCTGTTTAAATGGCAGTATTGTAGAAGCTAACTCTCTATGAGATAATCCATGATTGCTTATAGGATATTTAGGAGGGAACTTCACAAGGCTGTTGACATTTCGGAACTTCATTCCATGTGCTTTTTTTATCAGTAGCATATATTTAGCAAAGCCTAAAAAAGATTCTGATAGTGGATGAAAAGCGGTTGTTTTTGCTGTAGGAATGAGTTTGAATAATCGTATAAATATTTATGTGAGTGCATATATATGTATATTCATATATATATGTGCATATTCATATATATGCACACAAGTAAACATACACACTTGCATGTAAAAAACAATATTCACAGCTAAGTTACTTTATTGGAGTTTGGGAGCTTGACTTCATGTCACTTAAGCAGAACTGGTGCTATTGATTTTATGACATGTTTTGCATGTAGTTCTAAAAGATAATAAATGTCTAAGTTCTAACTGTAATATACTAGCACAAAAGCTTAAATTGGAAAAAAATAGTTGTTCCATAATTTTATTTCTTGAGTCAAATGGGAACAACTTTGAAAACAGTTCTTTACTATTTTTGTTCATTGGCAGCATTTGCATGCTATGTCACACATACAATTTATAACTACTCGTGTAAATACACCAGTAATAAGAGACTTCTAATAACTTACAGTTAAATTTTATTAACATGATTAAAGCCAAATTTCTCTTCTAACCCTGTTGTGTTTTTAGAGTGTGCTACAAGTTCAGATTCATTCTTACTTTTCCAAAGTGAGGTGTTGTTTGTGTTGCTAAACAACGAATTAGTGTCATATAGAAATATATGCTTAGCAGTGACATGTGTTTAACATTGCAGTGATCTTAGAATCATAGAATGGTTTAGGTGGAAGGGACCTTTGAAGATCATCTAGTTCAACACCCGTGCCGTGGGCAGGGACATCTTTCACTAGATCAAGTTACTCAAAGCCCCATCTAACCTGGCCTTGAACAGTTCCCATGACTGGACATCCACAACTTCTTTCGGCAGCCTGTTCCAGTGTTTCACCACGCTCATCACAAATAATTAATTTAATAAATAATTAATAAATAATAATTTAATAAATAATAGATAATTTCTTCCTTTTGTGCAATCTAAGTCATCCCTCTTTCAGTTTAAAACCATTGCCTTTTGTCCTGTCACTACTGGCCTGGGTAAAAAGTGTCTTTCTGTCTTTCTTACAAGCCTCCTTTATATATTGAAAGGCTGCAATAAGGTCTCCTTGGAGCTTTCTCTTCTGGAGATTGAACAACCCCAACTTTGTCAGCATTGATGTACAGTTTTCCTTCTTTCTATTCACTGAAGCGGTCTTTTCCAGACCAAACAGATGTAATTATTGAGGATATTTCAAAAGGAGCATTAAGGGGTTTGATGTGGTCTAAAGCTTGTGTGTCTGGTATAATAATTATTTTAAACAGCAATGGAAATACTTTTGCACTCCCACTGATTAAGGAAATCAGATTTTTTAATCTTTTTTTTTTTTTTTTTCTGTGCAGAAAGCTTCTAGTATAAATTAAATTTGTATTTGGTTAATCTCAGTATCTTGTTTTTAATGCTAGGTGCAAGCAGTGTTCAACTCCAAAGCCTATCAAGAATCTCAGTTCCATTGCAGCAGAAGAGCAACCATCATGGGAACCAACTGAAATAGCACAAGGTCAGCTGACATGATAAGGTTCTGAAAAACATAGTTACTTTTGAAATCATTACTGTACGAATTAAAGGATATTTGATGTTTAATAGTTTCTTCTACCACAAATGGCACTAGTAACACCTATATAGTACAAATGTGATGAAGTTTTTGGTTACAGGTGTCCTTTTTAAACTGTGTATGTGCTTGCAGTCCTAGAAGTTAGTCTTGCTTTTGAAGGTGGTGTTTTTCTGACCTGATCTAAAGGCACTCTAATGACTTGTACAAGTTAGACTTCTGTATTCTGTAAGGCTTATCAATGCTAAGCATATCATAAAATGGTTAAGGTTGGAAGGGATCTCAAAGATCATGAGGTTCGAACCCCCCTGCAATGAGCCAGGGACACCTCACACTAGGCCAGGCTGCACAAAGCCTTATCCGACCTGGCCCTAAACACCTCTAGGGAGGGGGCTTCCACAACCTATTCCACTACCTTACTACCGTCATGGTGAAGAATTTCTTCCTGATGTATATATTCCAGAGTCTGCAAGAAATAGTATTAAAATCAAAGGAATTATACCGTAACATTGGAACGGGCTGCCCAGGGAGGTCATGGAGTCACCATCCCTGGAGTTGTTCAAGAGGCATTAGTTGTGGCGCTTCAGGATATAGTTTAGTGGTTGTGGTAGTTGGAGTACAGTTGGACTCAGTGATCTTGAAAGTCTCTTCTAACCTTAATGAATCTATGATGTGCGTGTTCCATGCTTTGTGTCTTTCTTGTGTTACTTTATATATTCAACACAGTATTTTAATGTTTATAAATTAATGGTATAACATACTAAGTTGGAATATCTAAGCTTGGTAAAGACCTTATAAAAGAAAATATTTGAGCAATACAGTGTGGTTCTCTTGAATAAACATAATTAAATACATGTGAACTAATATTTAACTGATAGTGTTACAGCACCTGCAGTTGGCATTTAATTCTAAAAATGAAAACTATTCATTAAATGCTTTCTAGCATTTATTTTATTTATATTTTTCTTTTGTTGTCTGTATTTTCAGACTAAATTATAATCTGCAAGTTTATCAGATCAGTTGAACATGAAATGTCTAGCCAATTTAAGTCAATGTACCCAGAAAAGACTGATGCAGAGCTGCAGTAACTTTTGTTTGCAGCATAACAGTTACTGCTGTCAGTGTTAAAAAGACAATAGTGAACTACTTATGCTAGAATATTTTCAGAACTGTCAGCAAAGTTTTTCAGAATAAGACTTTGCCAGGTGGTTTTTATTACATCATGTGAAATGGATTGGTTTCTGTAGAAAAAGTTTTCAGATGGAATGCTATTTTATTGTCACTGAATTAAGAGCAAGTCTCCTTTAATCTCCCATGGATAAAAGAACAGGAAAAGGGATATCCTATCAAGGCAGGATCTAAGATCTAAGCAAACATTAGCATTTGATTTACTAGGATGAGAATCTATTATAGTGTTTCTAGGGAAGCTGCAATGTCCTCTGAAAATATAAACCATGTCTATTTTTTGGCCTGTCAGTTTATACTTTTTATTGACAGTATTCAGTATTCAGTCAGTTACTATTAAAGGACAGATATTGTCAGTTTGAGTTATTATAGTTTGTCTTGTATATTCACTTTAAGAAACAGGGGTTTTTTTCTACAGTTTTAGGTATTGAGCTTCTCCAGTATGTTTTTATTATGAAGTTTACACTGGTTGATGGAACAGGAGCACTGAATGCATACCTTTTTGATTATGTAAGTAAATGTAACTGTAAGTAGACTCTACAAATTAGTGTCTAATTCTTTACTCCTGTATACTTGTAGTTTCCCCAGCTTGGTTTTCTCTGTAAACATAGTGAGTCTATTTGCTATTCCATAAAGCATGTCACTAATGAATTTTCTGTAACTCACCCAACTTAAGACAATCCTCTGCAGAATCCACTTTGGACATCTCCCATTTTAACAGCAAACTACCATATTACTCTCCAGTATTTTTTTTTTATTTCTTTCCTTTTTACTTTTAATTTGTAAGCATTATTATTAAGTTAGCAGTTTGATGCACAAAGATGGTTTGAGTAAGAATTTTTTGGTAGGATGATGGTGGAGGATTTCTAACTGACAAGAGCTGGTTGTTACTTCCTACATCTCTAGTTTTGGGCTGAAGATGAACTGTGTATGTCTAGCATCCTCTTTAGTGAAGTTACTCCTCTACATGTGTTTTTATGTGCAGTATAGTATCTGCTGCTACACCCTTTCTGGGCTTTTTCCTCTTGTTTTGCTTTCTGTTTTTTTTTATTGGGTTGGTTTGTTTTGGTTTTTGCAAAAAACATATGCACACCCATGTGCACACATGCACACACCCATTTTAGTTGCTATCCTAAATTTTTATATAGTACCACAACAATTTTGAAAACAGTAAGTAAGAAAACCTTAGTCAAAAAGAGAATTAGGATCTAAAATACACTAGTATTACATTGTATCTGTTGTTCTTCTGAAAGTGCATGTGTGTGTTTTCTTATTCCGGGCAATTGATGGCTGGGAATATCAGGATCTCGCAGTACTCATTTGGAGGAACCTATCTACCCAAATGAAAAATAGTCAGTGTAGTAGCACTTCAGAAGTCTAGAAGTCTTTAAATGGGACTTTGAAGGGAATATTCTTCTTTTTTTGAATGTTAAGATGGTACCTAAAAATAGTATTGGAAAAAATGTGTGTTTTCTTAAAAGACAGTATTAGCACCAAAGGAGATCAAAGACTGCAATCCCAATTTCAGCTAGTCATTTTTTTTCTTCTACTGTCCTTTTTCCTTTTTATATCAAGAAAATAAACTGAAAAGGTGGGGGAAAAGTTTTTAAATTATCTTTTGTTGTAGAATTCGAAAAATCTGTACCTCATGGTAGCTTAGATTCTTACTTGATACTGCTCAGTACTACAGCTTAGCTGCAGGGAAAATAACATAGTTTCTTCTAATTGCCAGGTGCTAGCAGTCCTGCTGATGGCACTTCAAAGACAAGCCAATACCTTCTGAGCCTAAACTCAGGCTCTTCAGCACCACCTGAAAAGCAACCAGGCTACTTTGAAGTGCAGCTTCACACTACCTGCCAATTGCACTTCTGTAGGAATGCTCTCAGTTCTTTTCTTTCCTCTCCTATTTTTGGGAAAAATCATGAAGGAAAAAACAGAAAAGTTGTACAGTCAGAGAAGTTGAATGAGAGAGGAAAAAGTAGTTAGCTGTGTCAGTTTTGCTGCTGGATTATCCACTGACTTCTGATCACTTCCCTTAAACATGTCATACAAAAACTTATACAAAGGCAGATTATTCTGTATTTGTATCTTTTAACAAAAAAAGAGAAATTGCTATAAAAAACCTTAACTCACTTTGAGAAGGTATGAAATAATGAGCCTGTAGAGACAGAAAATCAGGTAGGAAACTTGGAAAGAATAAAATGGGATTATTGTCAGTCATGCTTACTGATTATGGTTTTAATATATACAGAAAACATTTATTTAATGTGTCAATGTTCCATTCTTTATTTTACTCCTGCATTCAGGAATGTATCCCACAGTACACACCTTTCTCTATAATAGTTTCTAAAAGTATCAAAGTGAAACTCGAACTAAAGGTGTTCCACTTGTACAAAGCCAGGTTGCAGTGCCCCCTTCTTTTCAAGTGACTTTGTTCTGCTCATTGCATGACAGACTGTTGAGGACTGACCGTCCTCTCAGGCCATAACGGTGTCAGTTTATGGAGGTTTATGAGGAATATCTGCCAGTTATATACATATATAATATATATATATACACATATATATATATGTATATATATGCTTTTCTGTAGTCCCAGAATACTCAGGGTACTGAATTACAAACTGCTAATATTTTCAGAAAGTTTGGGCTTTTTTCTATATCTGAACAGTTCTAGAAATAATACTGTTCTTCTGTTTTGTTATTTAAATGGTAATTTTAGATTCCTTAAATGATAAAGGAACATGCAGTCATGGTTCTAGCTAATGATTTCTTACCCCTCTTCTAACACCTCATACTTTTCTGTTCTCTTCCAGGAAAAGTTTTTCCAAATTCCTGCCTCTGAAATCTTAACTAATTGTTTTCTTCAACAAAAGATGCAGATGACCATGAATACGCTCTGTCCTCCAGGAAGAAAATTAGGTCAGCTTGCCATTATTTTTAAAGGGAGATGGGATGGGAAAAGGGTCTTTCAATCTGCTGTTGGATATGCAGAGTCTTAGAATTCAACTTATGCATGGCAAATTTCAGAACAGAGAAATGCAGGAGAAATGTAAGGAGAGTTCCAATTAATTTGTTTTGATGCATTTCTTTAATGAACTCCCTTTTGAGAAGGAAAAGTCATGGTTCAGTATATTCTCATGTAGCATGCAGTGATGTGTGAATAGAGTCACATCTATGCAGGCACTAACATATCATTTGTATTAATACGGAATTTAACCAGAACACTCTTGTACTGAATGTCACAGCACGTTAGGGAAAACTGAAAGGGAATTCAGTGTATGGTACATGACTGAGGTAAGATTCTATTTTTGAATGCACATGCTAATTTAGAGCATCCATTGCTACATAAAATCTGTATAAATTAGTCAAAAATTTAACTCAAATCCAGTCACAGAGGGTTTTGTCAAGTATTCCTGTTGTGGTAGAGAGTAGCTCTGCCCAAACCACACACATGCAAAGTCTGTGGCACAGCTCCAGCCTCCGGAGCACACCCCTCTAAGTATGTGGCTGTCAGTGACCACTGCAACCCTGGTAGAGTCTTCACAATAAAAAGTGGCCCTACTGGAAGGGGTGTAAAGGATGTTCCCTTTGAGACCAATGAAATTGTCTCATTGAGACACATGAAAATTAGTTTTGTTACTGGAAGGTCATTATATGGGCTATACTGTGGTAGAACTACACGTACCAAGTGTTCGGGAGGACACAGAGGCAGGGAGGGTGAGGCTTGAAGGGGTGTCGCTGAGCAGTGTTTTATATGATGTGGGAGATTTTAAGTTACAAATTAGAATTTCAATATTAATAATTAATTTTTATTCCTATTACTGTTGTATATACTTAGATACTCTAGTTAAAGTCCTGCTCAAGTTATACTTCTCTCCTTAGAAAAAACTTAGAAATGCATATTAAACAATAAGTTGTGTTTTGTTTGTAGATGACTTGCCGTGGCTGGAATGCTTCATCAAGTCCTATCATGTCAGAGATGAAACGAAACGTCAAGTTTGTTACCAAATTTTTGACACTACAATTGCTGAAGATGTTGTATAGTGATGTGTTGCTAACAGGAAGTAATTCAGTAAGAATCCAATTTTGGGGTTTTTGCATTAGAGACTGCATAAAAAAATTTTTGTTTCTTTCTGAAGAAGCTAACCTGTACATAAGAAATTTTAATTTGTATATTGATGTGAATGGGAATTATGCTCGGATGTATTTACTACTTTCCTAACATACAGCCTTATGATCTGAATCCAAGTGCAGGTGCTAAGCCGTTCACTGAAGGCTGCCTGGCTCAGGCTGATGGAAGCAATCTAGTATCTATATGTCCTTCAAAAAGGCAGTGATAAGCTTACTATAAACTGTGAGTTTTATTTAAAAATATAGTCAAAATGTTGCTTTCTTTGTTTCAATATTAAAATAAATGATGGCAGCAGAGACAGGGAAAAGGAGTTGTCTTGTCCCACTCGCTGGGTTTCAAAGAAGATGAGTCTTTTTATGCCCCAAAAGTGCCACTTTACGATAAACTACAGGTTTAGCTACTAAACTCTTAATATAGATCACACCCATTCACCTAGCTCCCAAGAGAGCAACAGTTGCTCCTGAATAAGTTCAGTCATCATTAACAACAATCCAAATATATGAAGCTTTACCCAACAATTAGTTCCCATTGCAGCAACAACTGCTTTGAGTCTCTGGCCACCAGCTTCATCTTGCTTCTGAAGTGGCACCACAGTGTGGACACACTAGTCATCTATTAAAAACTTCCAGAGCATTACAGTTCCAGTGAACACCGTATTCAACAGTACAGTGCCCTTTCACTGCCACCCTGTGACACCATCAGCAGGTAGTGGATGCTCTTTCCAGTCCCCACCTTGTGACTCCATCACCAGGTAGTGGGTGCCCTTCAGTCCTGATCGTTGCTACCACTGGCAGGAGTACCAAGGCTCCTTCTCTAACCTGTAAGGAGGCACAGAACTGGCCTTGGCTTAGAAGCCGAGCTTCGAAGTTAGAGCTCGGGGACTCTCCACCAAGCACGGAGAAGGTCGGTTTTCCCAGTCGTAAAAGCCTCTGGGTTTTACTAGTGTCATAGGCACAATCCCAGTGGAGGGCAGCTTCACCATTACAGGTGACTGATTATTTTTATCATCTGGTACAGGGTTAGTGCCTGCTACCGGTTCCTCAGGAAAGAATGCTAGAACTTGGGGGTTTCCATAACTTCCCCAGCAGTTGTTAATGGTAAAAGACTGTGGTAACCATGTGTCCCTGTCACAGCGTGGAACATCAGCATGTTTCTCAATCAGGTGCAGTGGGCCTAGCCTCTGGTAAGTCTTGCGTTCATCCTTTAGGGTGGAATTATGGATATGACCATGTAATTATTATCACTAAAATTAAAGTCAAACCATGAAAGTAAGGTAGTGTAAAATTAATGTTGCCATTCATTAGAACATAATTAATTTTAAGGTGACCCTATTGAGTACCAAAATTGTTAGCATGCTTATTAGCTGGGTCTGTTTTTTCAAAGGCTTTCACATATCTAGCTAAATTTACTGTCAGATTACACTGCTCAGATCTGCCTTGTGTCTCTTACATAATCAGATAGTATGACTAACTTTAGAGATAAAGAACTGATGTAGTGGTATCAGGGCTTGATAGTACTGCTGGATAAGAAAAATTACTTTGTGGTTTTACTTTGCATTCAGAAGTGCAGAGGACAAATTCAGGACACGTTTTTCTAATGATGATAAATATAATCAGAGCAAAATGACTTTGTATTTACAACAGCTGTTTTTTAAGGAAGTTCAGAAGCAAGGTGGAATACTTGTAAGCAGATTATTTAAATAGTAGATGACACTTTTAATTTTTCAGGGCTCTTTCGTAGATTATGCAATTTATCATTTAAAATTTCATCTAAATATCTTCTGGTAATTTTCTGGTACTCCGAAAAATTATCCTGGGTTTATATATCATAAACCAGGAAATTGGTTTTTATTGATTGATATATAGGAAGAACCAATATTAAAAGTGCTTTGTGGATATTTCCTTTCAAAAGTAAGGAAAAAGAAACAACTTCATAATTGAACAAGCAGTTTACCAAAGAGCAGTACTGGCCTATGAAAGCTTGCCTGAATCTATTAATGAACACATAAGTGCAAAATAGTTATAACAAGTAATTAGATTGATGATATAAAATTTTAGACACGGGTCATATCCAGATTATTTCAGAAGTTAGGGGTTAAACTGAAAACAGTCTTTTTTGCTTTTCTTGTATATAGTGTATGAAAAGAGTAGAAGGAAATGCTTTTATTTTTAGGTTTTTATTTACAACTCTGGTGGATCATGATATTGTACATTTTTTTCTAAAGGAGTCTTTGTAAAGTAATAAATAAGAATGTTTCGAACTTTGGTGTAAACAAAATCCATCTCACCACATCCCTTGTCTAAGATCTCTGCCAGAAAACTCTACATGACTTTATTTAATGACTTTATTTTTTTACTGTTGAACATTGTATTTAAATATTTAATAAAGATTTTTCCAAATAATTTCTGGTACTTGACTTTTAGTTTACTTTTTCATAAGACTGAAAACTTTGTCATCAGTAGCCTTCATCCAAAAAAATACTCCAAATGAATGTTTGTATAGTTTCTTAGATTGAAGCATACATGTATAATTCTCTTTCTAAATATGATTCATAAAGTATTTTTTGAATTAAAAATCATGTATTGGACAATGCTTAAGATCACTATATAGAAAATGTTAAAAATCTTAATGTCTCATTGATAGTCTTTATATACAGCAGTGGAAGTCATTGAGATAAGGCTTGAACCTTTAGTCACTTAATCCCGGTCAGTACTGAGGACTCCAAGTAGCTCACTGATGGATGGAAGTCTTTGGATTGTTGTGTCCTGAGCTTGCAGCACCAGCAGACACCAGTTTCTGAAAGCTGATCTTCTCAGGCAGCAACCACTTCTAGCCATTACTAGTAACTTCCTTAATAGAAACAAAAGTCACATTTCTCTTGGTAAGTTTCTTAATGAGGTATCTGTTTTAAGTTCCTAAAGCATTAACAAAAGATCAAATGTCTATTTTAATAGTTAAAAAATATTACTGAAATAGCTCAGAATGTGTTTAATGACAGTCAAAAGTTGAAACAATAGTAGATCAGGTTAACATTGGTACTCCAGGCATGTCTACTTGGTGTCTTTTTTCTCCATCCACACATCACAGTATAACCAGGGTAACTACATCAAAACATCAGCTTCTTACTAGAAATGTGGGCTTAAAAACCAAATATGCGTGGAATGTGAAATACATAGTGCTCAGCAACATCTCCACAGGCATGGGCAAAGAATATCTGATTATAAAAGAGAAGCTGTGAGGGAAAATAATAAAACTGAAAGAACAAATGAAGGAACATGAACTGATTTACTCCTCCAGGTACACGTTTCGTGTGTGAAAGTGGTAAAATTGAAATGAAAAAAAACCCTCAGAGTTTGTTTAAAAAAAAACCAACACACAAAAAAAAAGCAAAAATGGAATAGTGTTTCCAGGGATTGAGCTCCTTGGAAGTCCCTGCTTTAAGGGAGTTTAGAAGCTTAAGATTTGAAATCTCTCTGTAGTCAGTTGAATGTAAACTGCTGGATGCCTCAAACTCTTGAAACTCCCGTTACAAAGACAGCATATAAATGAATAGCATATATTGCAGAAATGAGGAGGCATTTCTGGTAGGTGAAACCTGGTTCAGTGGTGATTGAACTTTCCCATCAGCTTTTGCTGTTATGAGATCCAGAGATTTACAGACAAGACTTTGAAATGCTTTAATCCTTTGGCTACTGAGCAGCAGGAAGTGGGATTGCAAAAAAATAGTGGAGTGCACAGGCTACCAAGCTGAGGTTTGCAGCAGAAGAGTGAGTTGTAAGTGTTAACAGGGATGAGTGCTTAGCTCATCAACACTCTAGTATTTTACATCACAAGAACAAAGCCATTGCATTAATACATGAAACTGGCAAAAACTGGGGCACTGCAATACCGAGCAAGGCCAAATACTGAAATGGAGTTGTGAAAAAATCAAGCAAATTTGTCTGCTTATGTTCTTTGGAGCAGAATGGGAGAACTGCCAATAATTTTCTTAAATGGAGGAGAGAAAAAATTTCAAACCAATTTATTTCAAATAAGCGTTATTCCAGGTGTTCTGGACAGTGAATATTAAGAGTTGGAAAAAAGGAAAAGTCATCAGAACATGGAAAGAGAAAGCAAGAATGATTTCAGAGGACATTGGAAAAGGTAAGAAGTAGAGTCTTAATTGGTCAGTTTGCTGCAGGTCCTGTCCACAGCATTTTCTAAACAGACAATTCCCAGGAAGAACTATGGTCTGTGGAAATACCCATCTGATGAAGGATTACCAGATCCAAAGTGTTTGAAATGTAGAGTAGAATTACGTTGTAACTCATGAGTTCATATTTGTGGTGAAGCTATGGAGGGACCCAAGAGCAGCGCTACAATGTGTTTTTCCTTCTTGTTTTCTGCTACAATTTGGATACATGCATACAGAGGAACCTCCACGAAAATGATGTAGTGTTATCTGGCTGCGTACACTGAGCAAATTGAAAGTCTGGGAGTAAATCTACACTTCGTAGATACTTGTTTTAATTTTAATTGTTTACAAGTAAACTAGGAGAAAATATGTTTAATGTGGAAATATTTGCCAGAGTGGGGAAAAAAATAATTGAAAAATCACATACTAGTATACACAAAGCTTTGAGCATAAATTTGTTCTGTACCTTCTGCGTCTGTAAGGCCTGTGGACTATCACTGTAAAAAATACAGTTTTATGAAGTACAAGCTGAACCTTTATGATTGAGCCAATATTTGACTGTAATTTTGAAGGCTGGCTATCAGGTAGCTTTGAATTATGGACGTGTTACTTCTCTGAAAGGAATTCTCTAAAATTACAGAATTTTGGAAGTGCTGCCTGAATTTTGTGGCTAAAACAGCAGCAAAACTGAATACTGAAATCTGCTCATCAAACAGATTTAAGTACAGACTTTATTTC